TATATATATATATATATATATATATATATATGCATTTTATTATTATACATTTTCAGAAAGTAGCAATATATATAGCAGCTTCTGCACAGTGCCTTTACATTTTTTAATCGTGGGGTATATCTTCATAATGTTCGTGAAGTTTATGTTGATTTACAGAATATGAGCTTATAATTAATCAAGTGATTATAAAACTGGTATTAATTCTAGAAACCACTGCCAAGTAAATATCAATCAAAGTGAAAAAACTTCTTTTCTGAAATTTTGATATGTATCAATGGATTATGTATCTGAAAGTACTATCAAGTAACTGGCTAAGGAAGTGCTATGAAAGTTCTCACCCACAGAAGGCTAATATTCTGTGTTGTCTAGGAATACAATACATTTGTACTTCTAACGAAACCATATTTTATTTTTCCCCAGTGGTGATCATAAAATATCCTGCTTGGTTTAAATGTAAGATTTCAGACATTTTGACATGTTTTTTTCTATTTCATGACGACTTTCTACTGTGTTAGGATACAACTATAGACTGTTGAAGAGAAAGAGCTTATTCAACATTACTTAAAGCCAGGTTCATGTCAGAGTGCAGCAGATAATTTTTTTAAAAACATTCCTATATTTACTAGCAAATTATTTAAGTTTTTGATAAACAAATATTATGACGTACATTATTGTTAAATGCAAATACGTTTGAACTTCATAACCATGTAAATAGTTAGGTAAAAATAAAAAAAATATTATTATACTATTGAATGTATCAGAAGCACTATTTTATTGAGTTATTTTTTGTAGCATCACCTCTTTTAGTGATAGAAAGACAACTTTTGAGATGATGCCAGTACTGCAGATTAATTAATGAAGGAGCCCCGGTAGATCTGTAGCTTTATTTTTTTCTATAGAGAACTACATGTATGTAGACAAATACTATGTGCATTTGAATTGGAAGGGCAAGTATCCTACGCCAGTTCTTTTTGGGTTTTGGTAGTCTTTCTTATCTTTCATTGTTAGGATCAATGAATGCTCCTAAACAAAACTAACTAATGACAACTTCATGGGGTTGAAGTGGCTTTAATTCTGCACTATCTTCTGTAGTAGTCACTATTTCAATGCTAACCTTAGGGAACTGTGACAAGGCACCGTCTTCCAGGATGGCGCACTCAACTCACAAAAGCTATCAGTTTATATGCTCTCCCTTTCAAAATAACCACATCTTGTAATTTGACCATATGTGTGCACAACCTTTTCTTGGAGAAACTGAACTTTTCCCATATGTTGGTTTTCCTCAGAAAGAAAAATCTTATGGGTCCCTATTAGGGAGGTAGCATTACTCAGCAAGTGTGGATCCTGGAACTCAAAAATGAGAAGGCAGCTTGCCAAGCAAACAGGATGTAGTTGATGGCGAAAAGTTTGTGTGGATGTGTATGGAGAAAGATGAATAGAATCGTCAATAAAAATGTTGCATCTGCAGCCTGGGAGGAGTAGGAGGGTGCAGAGAGGGCCTCAGCATCTGTGGTGGCCCATTCTCTTGGTTGGTTATCAGAGCATGTGAGCCAGCCAGGCCTCTGTCCTGTCCTGGGTCCAGGATGTGCACACTCACTCCCTCAGCACTGAGGTTTCAGCAAAATGTAGTGCCTCAGCACCACACATTGCCCAAGAGAGCACTGGTCATTAAAGATCAGCGGGAGGCCAGAGGATCCCTTGAGGCCAGGAGTTGGAGAACAGCCTGGGTAACATGGCAAGACCCCCTCTCAAATATTAAAAATTAGCCAGGCATGGTGGCCTGTGCCTGTAGTCCCAGCTACTCCAGAGGAGGTGGGAGGCTCAGTTGAGCCCAGAGAGTGGAGGCTGCAGTGAGCTATGATCCAGCCACTGTGCTACAGCCTTTAATTCAGAGAGAGAGAGAGAGAGAGAGAGAGAGAGAGAGAGATCACTGCTTATGCAAGACATACCGGTAAGGACAAAAGGTTAGGACCTTCCCTAAGATTTCCTTCCTAATTTCCTGTCTCCTGAAAAAAGGACTATCCTAGCAATGTAGAAAGGTAGACAGACAAGGGTACACTTCCTTGGCAGGTTACAAAATCTGTGTCCTGGAAAACTCACCTGGGCAAAGAGAACAGAAAAGGGTAGATGAGTAGGAGTATTTATGGTAAAGCCAAGTTTTCTTTTCTCTACCTTCAAACTGTGATTGAGAAATGCAGTAATTTTCCATACATTATTTTAAATGTTGCCACTTTGCAGAACTTCATCATTTTCACGAATTCATATTTCGGATTGTGAAGAAATTGCCATCCAACCATAAGAAAGATTCCAATATTCAACTGTCAACTCTTCTGATTGGTCCTTTTTCAAGATCTCTACCCTCTCCTCCATAGATGACCCAGATCCCAAAAAGCGTTTTCCAGACATTCTCTGTCACCTGCGTATTCCTCTATTAAGTGGCCTTACTGATCTTTGAACTCTTTTGCTTCTTTAAGGCTGGAGAATTTCTTCCTCAACTCCACGCCCACCACTGCCCACCACGCGCTGGCATGAATACCTCACGTGGGTCATAGGACTCCCGAGGGACCTTCTGCGTGTTTCCCCTAGATCCTTTTACAAGTAGGTGCGTGCGTGGGCGGGCGGATACTCGCCGCTCTCCCTCCATCCTCTCACCTCTCTCCCTTTGCTCAAGCTTGCAGCTCCTCTCTTAGGCCGCCAGCTCTGCTGGACTAGGCCTGTGCAGACCCGCGCAGCCTTTAAGCCCTCTCCCCTCTCTCCCCCTGTCTTCTGCCCTTCCTTCTCTCTCCGTCTTCCCTCCCACTCTCTTTAGTCCCCTCTTTCTCTCCTGTCTCTCTTTTCTCTCTCCCGTCTCTCTTTTCTCTCTCCCCTCCTCTTTTCCCTTTCTTCTCTCTCCATTCTTCATCTCTCCCTTCTCTCTCTTACCCCGCTTCCCCTTTCTCTCTCTCTTACCTGGTCCCTTTCTTCCCCCTTCTCTCACCTCTCTCTCTTTAGCTCTCCATCTCGCTTCACTCCCTGCCTGCCCCATTACCCACCTTTCATTAAATGGATGCACAACACGCGCGCGCGCACACACAAGCACACATTCCCCTCTGCTTGGTCACTTTACCCCACCCTGGAAATCGAGGAACCAGAAGCCTGATGTGGTAGTAGGAGCCTTGGTGGCTGCATCTGAATCTCTGAATACCTGCCAGACACGGCGGGGTCGCTTCACCGTCCCTCATCCCAACTTACTGGCAGAACTCCACCCGCTCCCAGGCGCTGCGCTAGGCGTGGGCAGGACCGCGGCGAGCACTCCAAGCCCCGCGCAGCCCTGCGAGCACGTGGGCGCCGCAGCAGCAGGTGCCAGGAAGCAGAGACAGGGCCAGAGCCGGGAGGCAGGGGCCCAGCGTCGAGCGCTCGCCGGACTCCTCTCATGGCCCTTTCTCCTTTCCACGGCCTTTTGGGGCCACTCCAGTCTTAACAGCTCAGCGTCTGCTGCTGACCACTCTCCACACTCCGCCATTAGATCTTCGTACTCCGGCTTCTCCGCCGCCACAGTCCCCAACCAGAGCCCCAGCTGCGGCGCTGGTGCAGGTGGCCGGGCTGGAGGCCTACGTAGTCCCGGTCCAGCGGGCTGGGCTGTGGTCTGCGCAGGCAGTGTCCGCAGATGCCACGGAGGGAGGGCGGGACGGAGCCGGGAAGGGGAGGAGGTGCCGTTGCGGGGCCCAGGGAGGGACTTCCCCCGCACCTCCGCGCTCCAGCCCTTCGCGGCGCTGCCTCTCGGTGGCCGTTATTTTGTATTTATTGATTAGCATGTTACAAGCCTGGGCTCTTCCGATGCTGTTTCCCCGCAACTCGTGTCTCCCAGACTTTAACGCGCCGCGCGGGCCTGCAGAGGAAGTGGCGTGGGGTGGGGGGGAGGGGTCACCGTGTGTGTCGTGGGGTGGTTTTAAACATCTCGAGGTTGGGAGTCAATTACAACTCCAGGTGGGGAGGGGGGTCCACTGCAAGAAGCCGGCATCTTTGCGGGAGCAATTTGGTGGGGGGAACTTGGCACTGGGCCCGGTGTTCCACAGCGAAACTTTTACTGCCGCCTTTTCCTGGGGCGCGCCCCTGCCTTGTCTCCCACGCTGAGAGCAGAATCTGCGGCGAAGCGTTCGCCCCGGGGAGACAGGGCGAGGGGGCGCCCGGTTCCTTTACGCGATGGAAAACGAGGGGTGGGAGTCAGAGAGCCCGCAAAGTCTAACCTTTAAAAAGTGAAACACCAAACCCCACAAGGGATTTTCACACGATGGCCCCTCCCGCTTACACGCCTTTCGTCCGGCTCTAGGATCCGGCTCGGGATTTGCGGCTGCATCCTCCTCCAGCGCCCCGGCGAGCCGAGCCGCCAGTCCCAGCCGGGTCCTCACCCCCTTTCCGCCCCTCCCCCAGGCCCGCGCGGCGGGGATGTCCTTGCCGCCGCCACCGCGGCCCCATTCCGCCGCGCACCAGCCCCGGGACGCCGATCCCACCCGGGCTCCGGGCCGGGGGGAGGGTCTCGGAGCCCCGAGCCTTGACTAAGGGGCCCACTTGGTAACTCTGCTGTCTTCCGGCTCCTTCCTCCTCCTTCCCTTCCCCGCCCCCCCCCGCCCGGCCACCCGGGCTCCCCTGCGCCGCCCTCCAGCCCGCCTCCCAGACGCCCACCCGCCCGCTCCTCTTTCCGCAAGATCGCAGAGGTGGCGCGCAGCCCGGCGAGCCGATGACGGACCCCTTCCTCCTGCCTTCAATGCCTCAGCGGAAGATCCCCAAGGGCTGGAGCGAGGAGCGCTGCCGCTGGACGTCCTCCCGGGGAGGCTGCTCCGACCTGCTGCGCGGCGCGTCTGAGACTGGGGACTGAGCCCTCCCCGCCGCCGCCGCCCGCTCCGTCGCTGCCGTCGGTCTGGACTGGCCCCCCACTCGCTGCGCCCTCTGCCTGGCCCCGGCCCCGGCTTGGGGCGTCCCGGGGCTCGCCCCGCGCCCGCCGCCTCCCGCGCGCCGTGTCCTCCCGCGCGCCGTGTCCTCCCGACCCCGCGGCAGCGACGATGCCCGGGAGGAGGGTCCTGGCGGCGGCGGCGCGGATGGTGGCTGCCGGCGCCCGGGTGTGATGCGAGCGTCACGGTGGGGATGCTGCTGGCTGCGCGGCGCTGAGGGCCAGGGAGAGCGAGAGCCCGCCCGGGGCGGAGGACGGACTCATCCGGATCTGGCTGCAGCGTGGGCTCGGAGCTCCCCCTTCCTCTCGGTCTCCCCCTTGGCCCCCTTGTATTTCGCTCTCGCTTGGCGTCTTTAACACCTCTCGACCCGTCCTCCCCCCGCCACTGGAAGTCTTCCCGTCTCTAAATGGAATTAGTGGAGCCCGGAGCCTCTGGTGTAACGCACAGACATGATCCATGGGCGCAGCGTGCTTCACAGTGAGTACCCTGCCCGCCGCGCCCGTGAGCTCCGGAGCCAGCCCTCCTGCCCGCCCCTTTCCCGCGGCCGAACGCGCAGGAGAAGCCTCTGCGCCGCGCTCCAGCGGACCCCGCAGTCCCGCGCGGGTCGGGGCCGACGTAAACTTTCTGTATTGCAGCATCGTGGACCCTGGCGTGGGGGCGGCGCGCGGTCAGCCGTCGCCCAGTCCCAGAACCTGCCAGGGTGAACGGGCTCTCCGTGCGCAGGAACCCCCCGGGGGCTGAGAATAGCGCGCAGTTTGGGGATGGACACGTGCGTGCGGCAGAGACTGGCCTTGGCGAGGGCGCAGGTGGAAAGCGGGAGGGAGCGGGGATACCTAGTGAGGGTAGAGGAATCTTCCTCTTCCCTGGGCTCCCGGAGCTCGGGGATCCCTGGTCGCACGCAGTCCTGGAGGTAGCGGGAGATGTACCTGAAGCCAGCGCAGAGGGAAGGGCGAGGGTCAGCGTCCACCCTCTTCCGCCCAGGATACCGCTAGCGTCGCTTTCTGGGTGTGTGGTAACGCGGGCAGTGTCGAGGTGGGAAGGAATGAGAGGAAAATAGTATGACGAGTCATCGAGTAAAAGGCAGCATAAGAAACTGTGCGGTGGAAATTTGACATTACTAAGCAAAGATGAGAGTGTGGATCGCGGGCCACGCAGTTAAGAGAGGGCTTTGCTGATGAGTTAAACACAGTACCTGGTCCATAATGCGATTTCAGCAAATCAGGAAGAGCGGAGTAAACAAATACATCCTGATCGTGAAGGATGTGTACCTTTGTGTTCTGGGTGTGAGCAAAATCATGGCAAATTAAATTGATTTTTTTTTCCCTTGGAAACACGGTAACCACAGCAGCCAGTGGCTTAATATAAAATGCAAATGACCTGCCTAGAGCATAAAGTAATACACAGTTGATAATTTTTTAATTATTAATATTAACACTTAGGTACCTTTCTTAGAATAATGTTTAAGTATAAATGTATAAGCCTCTATGGTGAGCTTTAATTGAGGAAATATTTGTGAATTATGCTCTCCCCTCCATTTCATTTTAAGTGACAGTATGAAAGCAGACCTTTTATGTTATTGGACAACAAAACGAATAAGAAAAATAAAATGGAAGAAAAATCAAATTATGAAGACTAGAATACTTAATATTTTGCTAGTTCTTCATTTTGTAAAAATGTTGATTAGATGAAGAATGTGGAAGTAAATCAAGTTTAGATTATAATGGCACTGCAGCTTTACTGTTAAGTTACAGATCAGAGTCTCTTTGACACTGGAAACCTGACTCGGTATAATGCTTTTGGAAATCACCTCTCTCAAATTAATAGCCTATCTCTATAGATTGATTTGGTATTAAATCAAAGTTAAGGTTAGGAGAGATTAATTTCACAGCTTAGAAAGTTCTGAGGACTGAGGACAGTGTTACTTGGAGGTTCAGAACATTTTTGTAGGCAACAGTCTAATAATGCTGCTTAATGCCCACAATCCCCATTAATCTGCTTCTTGCTTGCTCCCCTCCCCCACAGCCTGTAGGATTTGTCTAAGTATTTATTTTCTAAAATACAGCCACACTGCAGTGTGTCAGGAACAGTCATGGAGGCTTTCTCATCCTTTGCTTCTTCTTTTCCTCCTTTTTGCCTTCTGGCCACTCTCTTCCTTCAGAGATGCTAGCAGAGCCATTCCCTAAGGGTAGTTTAGGTACAGTGGGACTCCTGAAGTCCCACTGTAATGTGTGTGACAAGAGTAAATTGTCATGTTGCTTTTAGAGTGAAGGATGTTTTTGCCTTAGAAATTTGGGTCTCATCCCTTCTTAACTTGTGTTACTTTTTAAGGGAGTCCCAAGGTTTCCTGATTTGTACATTTCAAATCAGTTTATGCAAGTTCTGAATCAACTTCTAACAGTTAACAATGATACAATTAATCTGCTTTGATAGTATTTTATCTCGAAATTGTGTTATGTTTTTATGGAATTTGATCATTTCTGTGTATTTTATCTCTAATTTTTCTTTTCTGTTTCAGTTGTAGCAAGTTTAATCATCCTCCATTTGTCTGGGGCAACCAAGAAAGGAACAGGTGTGTCTACTTAGAAAAATACTATTGGAAGACCTCGAATTATATTGTGTTTTCCTATTTTCCTCCTACATTTAATATTCCAGAATATCTGAACCTGTTATAATGTGTGTAATTGATTGGTTTGGCTAAAACAACATTTAAAAGTTAATCTACTAATGGATATTATAAGAATGTCCTCTCTATTTTTAGTATTATAGAAAATTGGATGACGGTTCTTTTTAAAATATTTTTCTTGTATTTAACAGAAAAGCAAACCACCTCAGAAACACAGAAGTCAATGCAGTGTGGAACCTGGACAAAGCATGCAGAGGGAGGTATCTTTACCTCTCCCAACTATCCCAGCAAGTACCCCCCGGACCGAGAATGCATCTACATCATAGAAGGTAAGCGGAGAGAGTGCCAGAGTTAAGAGAACACTAAGCCAAAACCTGGCCATCTCTATGCTTTGGATGAAGAATATGCATATAGACATTACAAAATTGATTTGGAGATCATGCGCAAAAATATCTCTGAGTGAGTCAAATAACTGTAAAATTTGGAATCAGGCTAATTATTGAAATTTTAGTAATGAGTTATGAACAGGCAAAGTCTGTGAAATAAAAACAAATGAACAACTTAAGAGTTTATTTTGCAGTTGATTTAATTGATGTAGAGTTCTAATGCAGTAGAATGGATGCATGGTTGGCACAGTATTACCTAATGTATAACGGTTTGAGAAACCAGTAAAATTTTTAGTTCCACAATTACTAGAATAACCTGTATGTTACTTTTTCTTTAATATTATAAAGTACAAAAATCATATTAATGTCAAAGATGAATCTATAATTACATTTTCTAAACAGCAGTCTGAAGGATAGTTACCTTATTTGTGTTAAAAAGTGACATCTCATTATAAAGTGAAGGTCAGGATTGTAAATTATGAGACTTTCTTTCATGACTTTTTTCCAACATGAAAGATAAATGGCGTTGAAAAGAGACGTCTCTTTGAACGTTTCCCATTTACACTGACCTTGTAAACACCTCTCTCTTTTATTTTATTTTTTTGAGACAGAGTCACTTTCTGTCACCCAGGCTGGAGTGCAGTGGCATGATTTCGGCTCACTGCAACCTCTGCCTCCTGAGTTCCAGCAATTCTCCTGCCTCAGCCTCCCAAGTAGCTGGGATTGCAGGTGCACACCACAGCTAATTTTTGTATTTTTGGTAGAAATGGGGTTTTGCTGTGTTAGCCAGGCTGGTCTGGAACTCCTGACCTCAAGTGATCCACCCGTCTTGGCCTCCGAAAGTGCTGGGATTACAGACGTGAACCATGGCGCCAGGCCAACACCTCTCCCTTAACTACAGATTTTTAAAATGTGAAAGCATATCATCTGGTGATGGGAGTTTTCAGTATTTTAACTGTTAGTACCTAATGGGCTAAAACTTGGAAGCACCTACCCCCCTTCTACACACACACACACATGCATGCATAGGCAAAACTATCTTAATGAAAAAGATATATGCACTTTCTACTACATACAAATCAGGGACACATTTATTTGATAGATTTTTCAAAGAAGCAGCAGGCTTTCTGTTTACCTAATTTTATGAATTTCTATTTAGCAATGATTATTTTTGGTAATTATTGGGCCATAGATCTTCCCCCACCCCCTTTGTACTTGAAGTTGGATTTTCAGCAAAGATAAATCACACTGTAAGAAGGTAAAACAATAAATAAGCTATGCCATTAAAAGGATAACTAGGAAACCTAAGGTCTGGAAGTGCAAATTCCTTGTATGACTGATAGAAAAGGAACTTGCTACTCGCCTCACAGGACTTGCCAGTATGCTCTGGGGACAATGCCCATTTCCCTCAACAATCTAAAGGGCCCCAGGATTAGCACAAAGTAGTTGGAACAGGGAAGCCAAAGAGAATACAGGGAAGAAGATATGCTCACCTTCACTTTTGAAGAACACCCAGGAAGGCATCATTCTCTGCATGGCGTAGCATGTGCGAAAGTTCAGATATACTATGGTTGGAGACCTGCATGGAGTATCCTAGGGCTTCTGCAGAATCTGAGGAAAGGAGAGCGGGAGGCTGAAGACGGAGGCAATCTCAGACAAAGGGGTAGCTGGTATTCCTTCTGTGCCTGCTGGGTGAAATCTTAGACATTATGCTATAGACAATGAGGTGTCATTGAAGTAATTTAAGTAGAAGAATAATGTGTGATTTTGATGAAGACGTAACTGAAGGAAAAGAAGATAAACTAAGAAAGAATTGCAAAAGTCTAAGTAAGTCATAGTAAATACTTACACTAAAGAAGCGGCATCAGTGATGGAGTAAGTGAAAGAACTGAGAGGTATTTAATAAACTGGATCACGAGTGGCTGGATCAGGGAGTCAGAGAATAGGGTATCCCAGGACTGTTCTAATGTTTGTCGCTTGATGACTTGTTAGACGGAATTGCCATCACAGAAAAGAAATGTAGATGGAAAAAATTGTTTTAAAGGAAAAATAATGTGTTTAGTTTGTGTTTATGGAGATGTTCCATATTAAAGATTAGATATATGTAGCTCTAGCTGAGTGGAGAGATAGATGTGGTCTGAAAATGTATATGTATAGGTCATAGAGATTGGTGTTGAGGTTGTTAGTATGAATAAAATTATCCAAAGACAGTATTTGGAGCACTGTTTTTCAACTCTTCAAAAAAAAATGCAAATGCCTGGCCCTTTCCCCAGGAATTCTGATTTAATTGGCCTTAGACAGAGCCCCAGGCATCCTTATATTGTAGTATCATTCCATTGGAATGCCTGTGGCAACCTGGTGTCCTGGTCTCAAATGGGAGAAAATAAGATGTAGAATAGATTTCTGGGAAATAACGTGTAAGAGATGGGCAGTGTATGGGGAAAAGGTAATGGACTGAGTAGGAGAAGCCAGAGAGTTAGGCAGGAGAGTCAGGTGTAGGATACCATAGCAGCCAGAGTGCACGAGGGCTTGAGAAGCAGGGAGCAGTCAAAGTGCCAGCTGCAGCAATAAAAATAAGTGAAAAACAGAAATTCATCTGTTACATGGAGCAATTAAGAGTTCGTTAGTAACTGATGAGCACTTCCATTGGCATGGTGGAGGTGGGTGTTTTTTCCTCTTTTAAAGGGGCAGATTGCACATATTTAATTCTAAAATGAATATTCTGTAGAGATCAGTAAATTGAAAATGGAAGAGAAAGAGGGAGACGTAATTGGTCAGATTTCCAGAGGTATGACGGAGATGAAGAATGCAGGTGAGGTCTTGGTCATGAAAGAGGATCCCTTTATGAATGTCACGTGATCTAAAAATTCCCTCAGAATGGAAGAAATATTCTCTACATATGTGTACAATCCAGGTTCAAGTGCCCATAGTTTGCAGTGCATCTGAAGATTCTCAAAGTGGTTGAGGTCTCTCATGAACTAACCTGTGTTAGATCAAATGTAACTTACAGAAATATTAAAAGGAAATGTAGCTGTGAAGAAAATTCTTGAAGGTGAAGCAAATTGAAGTTGAGAGAGTTAGACCTAAATATTTTCAAATGGTTTCTGTGTGCCATAATCACTCATTTTTTAATTGACCACAAGGATTATGTGGCAAACTTAGTTTTAAAAAGTTATTTCACAGCCGATGCAGTGGCTCACACCTGTAATCCCAGCACTTTGGGAGGTCAAGGCGGGTGGATCACAAGGCCAAGAGATCGAAACCATCTTGGCCAACATGGTGAAACCCCATCTCTACTAAAAAATACAAAAATTACCTGGGGGTGGTGGCGCGTGCCTTTAGTCCCAGCTACTCAGGAGGCTGAGGCAGGAGAATCACATGAACCCGGGAGGCAGAGGTTGCAGTGAGCAGAGATTGTGCCACTGCACTCCAGCCTGGCGACAGAGAGAGATTCTGTCTCAAAAAGTGTTAGAGGTTCACTAATTCACAGAACTTATGTAATGATAAGAGCGAAATTTTGGATAAGTGAATTCATATTAGATGGCCATTATTTCTTAGTAGGGGAAATTGGCGAGAGCGTGTTCACAGATGACAGAGCTCTAAGTCAAGTAGCTAAGGACTGTCCTCATTGCTCTGTCATTCCCTAGCCATACATTATTCACACCTAAAATAGCTATCCTATAATCTGAAATAATTTATTTCCTTATAAAACTTGTCATAATGGTGATTGTTAAGTAAACAGGTAGATACATGCTATAGGATGATAGTGTATGCAAGTGATATATTTAGTACTAATATGTAAATGGGTCCAAGTCCTTCAGAATTTGCCTTTTTGTTATAAGGCTAATACTTTAAGCATAAGACATAATTATTTCTTTGGGCACTTTCAAATTAAAAAAAAAAAGTCACTGAAAGTCCCTCAAATCTGTCATTATTGTGGTTACTATATTTGTTGACCTTTTTGATATATGTTAGTGATGGATAAAATATTTTTCTTGCATGAGCTATAAATGTCAATTTTCCGTGTATGAGTCAGAAATGTTTTTCAGACATTAAAAATTATCCATAAAACAATTCATTTTAAAAATAAATTGACCTTTAATCTGTTGATCTTTAATTTTGTACCTGGAGAGCATCAGAGTCACATTTTATTCTGTAAATCTCCAATTTACAAATTACCACATATCTCAATATTACATAAATTTTTGAAAACCATGCATTGAAGAGCTTACTTTTTAGATCATCATGGATGATGTTCAATGTATATTCAAGAAGCAGTGTGGTGTGGACAGCCACCATTCAGCATGGTTGCTGACCATATAGAGAGCAGGCCTGGCTGTGCTGAACCTTAACTTTCAAGTGTCTAGAGGGGGTAGTGCATGAAAAGGGCCAAGTAGCGGGGCTTCAGGCAACAGCTGCGTACTAAGCAGGATACAGATATGCTGATATTTCAACAAACTTTATGGCCATTCTGGAGTATCCTGGCTGAATGTAAGTATGAGATGCCAGAATTTTGGACTGTTTTGGACATATCAAAGGAAGAATGAAAGAACATTAGCAAATGCATTCATGTGGTGCTCTCTAGAGTTGCCAGCCATATAAAGGTTTCCCTGATTCTTTAGAGAGCTGTAAAAACATTTATGAAGATAAGCTCATTTATAATTCACTCAAAAAGACTTTTTATATGGAAATTTTCAATGACAAGTACTATGCTAAGTGCTGAGAAAGGAGGTGAGTGAGATACGGTTCTGGTCTTTCAAGACAGATTTAGAAACGAGCCTTCTTTAAAGCAAGTCTTTCCTGTGTAAAGAGGAGGTAACAGTGGGTATGTAGATATTCAAGAAAGTAAGAAAATCCATGAAAGTCTGAAAGAGCATACTTTCTTAGAATGCAAGACGTGTTTGAAGTGGTCTGAGCTTGGGATGCCTGTGAGGGGATAGGGCCTTGGAAGCAAGATGTTCTTAATGGGTCAGCATGTGTGTTGAATGCATTGATCATGGGCCAGCTGCTGAGGTTTAAACCTCAGGGTGATGTGATCAGGTTTGTGGTCTAGAAAAATTACTCTTAATATCCTTGAGTATGCACTTGGATCTAATCTAAACACATGACTGGGACTACTTGAATGATTGTATTTAATATAACTATGCCAAACAATTCTCAAGTGATTTGTGACTACAAACCTGTGTACTCCTGGAAATAGGAGAAAAGAGACAGAAAAACGTCCCTTGATCTTCTAACCCCAAGTTAACAGCCTTTCATAAAAGTAATGTGCTTTGTTAGTCTTGCGCAAAACATCGAATGATCATCTTGTGTCAGAATAATGTTTTGTGGAACATCATCGGGTTTAAGGTTCATTCCTTAAACATTTTTATGAAAATTGTATCCTGCAGAATAGTGTCAATGCTTTTTTTGTATTTCCATGCATATAATCCATAAAGTTTGAGAGAAAATGAACAGATAATATCTGAAATAGAATCAGAAAATATTAACCTGACGATTTAAGAAATGGCCTCTCCGACACAATCTTTCTTCTTTACAGCCGCTCCAAGACAGTGCATTGAACTTTACTTTGATGAAAAGTACTCTATTGAACCCTCTTGGGAGTGCAAATTTGATCATATTGAAGTTCGAGATGGACCTTTTGGCTTTTCTCCAATAATTGGACGTTTCTGTGGACAACAAAATCCACCTGTAATAAAATCCAGTGGAAGATTTCTGTGGATTAAATTTTTTGCTGATGGAGAGCTGGAATCCATGGGATTTTCAGCTCGATACAATTTCACACCTGGTAAGTAAGGACTTTTTTTAAACAATCCGTTTCTTTCTTTTCCTCATTTTTCTGTCTTCATAGTACAAAGTCATTTGTAAGACAACATGATAATTTTTCAGAGAATTTTCAAGTTCTATTTAAAACCAAACCTACTTTTTATTTTCACTACATAAATTCTGAAAGGAAAAGATGTCCTTCTTAAAACAGCCTACACTAGAGGTAAAGAGTAGTGACTCAGGGCTCTAAATGGGCATCAGCAACACTGTCAAGTGGACTTCCGTTATGATGGAATGTGTAATTGGAGAGACCGTCTGATAAGGAAACTAATTATTCATAGGGACTCAATAAACTTGAAAAGGCAATTGTAATGTTATAAAATGTATCTGCCAAAATTATCTTTGGGGAACTTGAATTAGAAGTTCATTTGTTCTGAAAATTATCGTGTTTCAATCGAATAGATCCTACTACCAAGTAGTCTAATCTGTTTTCAGAAATGCAAATTCTTAAGAATTTTGATGAAAGGAAAACTGAGACCTGTAGCAGCCAAATACTCATTTGCAAGCTCTCGCAGATATTGTGTGCGATAATCAGTTTATGCGATCTATCTCAATTTTCCTTTTAACTTGCTAGCATTAAAAAAGGGTCTGTGATGTTGACTGGCTCACTTAAGTAAGAGTTATCATTCATTATCATAAAATTGGTTATCACATTGTTTTCACTGCAAGAACATCACATGCATTAATTTAAATGGAAAAATTATTCAAATTATGTAAAGCCCATTTTTATATAGTTAGATTTTTTTCACTTCATATGTATTGTTTTATTTAAGTTGTAATAGGTAATAGGAGGATTTGGAATATATGTAAACTTTCTTGAAGTTGCTCTTCCATGTTAAAGAAGTAACATCTACACAGGGCTTTGATACTCTGTTAAAAAACTAAAATTTAAAACATTATTAATATAAGGTTAATGATGACTTTCATTATGACATTATGGTGCATGTTAAATCAAGTATTAACTGTGGCATATATATTAGCTTTGAGCGTTAGGAATGTTTTTAATAATATCACTAAAGGACTGTGGTTTTAATTATGCTTTGCTAATAATGGATTACTCACAGAAATCATGGGTATTTTATGTGCTACAGTTGAACTAATTTGAAGCATTCCCAAAAGGTACAAATGTTAGCTTACTTTATCTGCCAGATGATTAGTGCTAGAATTGTAAATGGAAAGGTATGTATTCTTTTCTTAACTGATAATTGTGAATATAACCTATACCTAGAGGCAGTGACGTATGGCATGGTCTAGGTTTCATAAGTTATATTTTCTTTCTGAGTTTGGTGGTCATGAAAATAATGTCTTGGATTTAAAGTTGTGGTTTCACAATGGATATAGTGTCAACTGTCATGCTTTATCAACATAAGCAATGATATCCATGTTTCTGGCTCTATTTGAGATGACTAAATGGTAGCACTCAATCTGTTCTTATAGGTTTTAAAAAGCCTTTTTGCTCCCTGGGTTTTTTTTTTTCTTTGCTTTTTGTTTCTTTAGAGCCACCATACTGCTTTTATAGAAGGAGATTTTATTGCTATGAACGACTGAATCTGAATGGAACTCTAGGAGATATTTCCATGAAGCAGGACAGGTTAAGGATGGGCTGAGGTTTCTGTTTTCACTCAGATCAAATAGAGCAAAACTTCTGAAGAAACCTACATTTGGCATAAGAGGAAAAGTGGTACCATAAAAAAAAAAAAAAAAAGACTTGGAAAACTTACATGACAGCAAAAGTTGACGTTGTGTGGCCCAAGGCCATTTGAGATGACATAAATCCAAGTGACATAACTGTTACAATTCTTTAGAAAGAGGCAGAATTAAGGAAGCCAGTACTTATTGAAATAAGAAGTGGGTAGGGATTAGTAATAATTTAGAATTATTGAGGGAATTTGAGGCCAGGCAGGCTTTAGTTGTCCTTTTGGCTTAATTTTTATTTAAGTAGTGTGCTTCAACTCATGACCTGGGGAAATTGAAGGAGGAAGAGTTTCTCAAGTCAGTTTAATGATTTATGATATAAAGCATTGCGAGAATTTCCAGGGCTCCCCAGTGGACCCACATTGGAGATGAAATTCTGCCTACCAAGTCATCTTAGATAGAGAGATGATGGTCTCCTGGACAGCTGCAAGGAGCACTGCCTTTGGAACCAGATCTGGCTTTGCTTTTCTTTGCATGACGTAAACTTTGAACATAGTCATTTATGTTCTATCCCTCAATATTTTTAATTATAAAATAAAACTCATATCAAGCCTGTCACAGAATTGTTTGAAAGACAGTTCACCAATGCATATTTACGAATCTTTTGAGTGCCTGTCCGATCTCAACTATCAATAGCTGTTGTTTTTATTAGTTTGATCATGTGCTCTTTAAAGACAAAGCATGCTTGGTATAGGTTATTGGGAAACAAGTGTCTCAGACTTAAAAAAAATTCCCTGAAATTTTTAGGTGGGTGCACAAAATTCATACTTACACCTTGTGACTATTTTTTTTTTTTTTTTTAAGTTTAGGAGATTTAGTTAGTTTAGATGGGCCTAGACTTCCAAGTGGGGATTATAGTTACTTCTAACGGCAGTCATAGAATATATCAAGGCAGAAATAGCAGCAGAAAGGCCAGGCGGTCTCTATTATTTTAATGAATTTATCACAGTCTGGAATCTAGATGTATTCTCTCACAGTCTCAGAAACTTACAGTCTCAGAAACTTTATGTCAACACATTGAGAGTTTACCCATCTCTTAGAAATGGATCACATTTGCCAAGCTAACCGGAATGACTATACATATATATGTAATATTTATACATACATACACGTGGTAAATACACATATACATTTTCTATAAGAATTCTTAGAATTACACAGCCCATTTCTTCCTGCCATCAAACATACATGGATGGGCAGATTATGATCAGAACATTGCATAGTGAGTATAGAATCCAGATGTTGAAGATTACATGCATAATATGCATATTTCACAAATACGGAGCCAAAGTTTTGATGATTAACCTTCCTAACACAGATTGTTTCTTCCAATGGTGCTTCAGCCCTCACACTGCCATGGATTCCAGTTTCCAGTCTCCCTGGTTCCATCTTGCCTGACTAGCAAACTAATTTGTATATACTCTTATCTCCAACATTTTTTCTATTTCCTTGTATCTGAGTCTCTAACTTTCTTTTCTACGGAGCTTAAAATAATACCCTTTCAATCTGAAGCCCTTGCTATTCCCAATAGCCGTGCTTCTGAATTCCCACTGGTACATGGGAAGAGGCCAACTGGAGGTCCTACATGGTTGTGGAGGATAGGGAGGCAACGCAAGGAGAATACCACAGAAACGGGCTTAAAGGAGGCCCTTCTTTTTCTCCTGGCACATTTTTATGAATACTCACTTTTTGGTTTGCTGATGGTTATTTTTAGAGACTGTGTCATTACCCAGGTCCACAGTGCAGTGATGAATCACCTAGGATTATAGACTAGCATGCATAAGGAGAATTGTGAGATTGAGCAATAGTCAAGGAGAAATGAGCTGGTTCAAACCCTGGAGTCTGCAAAGGGCAAGAGTGAGGCTTAAAGAAGGGCTAGCAGGTGCAAAGCCTTGTGAGCACCTCATGGAAATGCCCTGAACAGCTCTCTTCTTTCTGTACAGTGAACTCTCCTCTGCAATATGCCATCGCAGTTCAGAAAGAGAAATAAGTGCAGAATCACTGAGAATGTTAAAAGTTACACCACAGAATATTTGATAACTCAGAAAACTTAATAAAAAAACAGAAGACATATCAAAGGTATTTATTGTATTAGAATTATATTGTTTTCTCACTTCAAAAGAGTCTTTAGACAAGTTTTAAATCAAATTTGGCAAAGAAAATCAAATGACTAGAAAATATGTTGTGGTACAGGAATTTGAAACAGTAACGATGACCTCAGGTAAGAGATAGCAGGAAGAGGGGAACAAGGAGGATTTTACGGGCCAAGATGGAGTAAAAATCGACTCAACGTTATTGTTAATGCTTTAATTTTTGAAAATAATAAGATATTTTGGTATTACTTTTATAGATAAATTATGTAAGATCAAAAAAATCAGTATGATCAGAAAAGACTATACTTGATAATTTTTAGTGGATTTTTAGAAGAGGGAATACCATTTTCCATATTTCACAGACTTTTTTACTCAAACTAAGAATGCCTTTTGAGCAGAATATAACACTTCCCTGCAGCCAACTGCCTTCTTGCATAAATTTTCTTTCCACTTGAAAATATAAGGAAGAAAATGTAACAGTATTTACTGTATTCCTCATTCTACTGGTATGACCCCACTGCCATTCAGATGCTCTGCTCCTGGAGGTCGCCCTTCCAGTCTCTTTAATGACAGGTATCTTTTCTTGGTCTTATAGTTTACTTCCTAATGAGGAGATTTTCTGTTATTTACAGACATAGAATGGATGTTTATGAAATTTTCCTTTTTTGATGATAGATTTCCTGTACTAGTTTTAAGGAACAAAGTTACCCACATCCCACTGGAGAAAATGAACTTAAGAAATATACCTCAAAGTACCAAATAGGTGAGGGTTGAGTTAGACGTTGACATTGAAGTGAGTGGAGTCTTTAAATATATAGAAATTATTATGATACTTTGTACTTAAATAGCACCTTTCATCTGGGGAGCTCAAAGTGTTTTAGGAACTCTCTGGCCAACTCCTAGCCACCTCTCAAGCTGCATGCTTGACGGACTTCAAAGGAGAAGGGAAGAATACACTGCAGTGCTATGATTTAAATGGAGTGTTTTAAAAGGATTTCTATGCATATTAAATGAAATGCATTATTACAATAAAATATTGTCATGGATTTAATGTTATTTGAAATATTCAGTGCAGTGTTTTTCCTCTTTGGATCAGAAATGTGAATGTATATGTGTTCATTTTGAAAGTTTCTAATGTTTCATAGATAATCAGAGTTCTGATAGGTGCTCTGGT